GGACCCAGAATCTTACCCGGTAAGTTGCATAGCAAGGACCAAGAATTTTACCAGTAAGTGAGAGAAAAAGACTCYTACCCAGTAAACACTTACCAACAATCCAATTTAATAGCCGAGAATGTTACCAGATAAGCAATTGATAAACAGGCCCTTACTCGGTCAGTAATTAGCGCAAACTCAGGCAGCACTCTAACCAGATTAGCGCTTACCCACTTTGTGCCACCAGTAAACAACCCCTTAGAAAGCATAGCTATATGATTGGGGTCATTTTATAAGCTTAATTAAGAAGGCAAACTYGAAAACAATCGAACTTTTAACATATATTTTACTTGCAACAAAGTAATATGCATGTACAAGTACATCATGATAAAAAGTATCAAATTTTCACATAAATCAATCAGATGCACATGTGAAATTCAAAGCTTATAAGTAGTCTATCCGACATTCAATGTCAAAGTACGACCAACGGGCAACGAATCAAAGGGAATAATATTTATGTTTTCATTTTCTAATGTTGAGATATCTTATTCCATCAGTCTCATTAATACAAAAAGTTTGGTCCTTGAAATAGGACCACATTCCCATCATTACAWCAATGCAAATCATTTGGTTCATGGAATAGGGCTACATACTCATCATTACAACAGTGCAACTTATTGATGATGCTATTATAATCTTAATTACAAGAGATCTTATATTGTCATTAGTGCATAACCTTAATCCAGGCACCATCCACCACCTCTCCTGCCGGGAGGGGATGAGGGGACCAGTATGGTGGGGGTGCGTGATTATTATACCGAGCACTACCCCACCCTCGCCCGGGGGGGGATGACGGAGTACCAGTATCGTGGGGGTGCTCCAAAGGGTGGCGTATACCCTTTTCTTCCACATCTTTAATCAAAAGTCGTGACAAAAGAAAACTTATGGATGGGAAATTGACTACGAGTGACTTGTGATAATAACAAGTCGGATATGTGTAAGCTCCAAATATTCTTTCACTTTGTCATCAGGTGGAGGGCCGGAAATATTCCCACATCGCTTTCTTGTTTGTGCTATAATATGACCATCAAAATATCCYTATGATGTATTACTTTTGTGTAAATTTATTTCATGTGTTTAAATCTCACTTGATGTCGACAACAACTCTAATTCCTACGGTTCCTGTTGGGTTTTGACATGGGTAGTTTAGTAATTTACCAATCTTGTCTCATTTTCCTAAATTCTGTTCCACCTATTTTAGTGGGACAAAAAAATGACTTTAACATCTCACTCAGTCCTATCATGGCCGAGTAAATGTTGCACCAAACTTGGGACAAGTTTTTGAACAGTCATGTCCCTTCCTGTCAGTGTACCAAACGCACCTAATTGACAATTTAAACCCTTCAACAATCAATACACACCCCTGCACCAAATCTCCAAGGTACAAACCCAATAAAATGAAGTTCTAATACAATTTATATGTGACTGGATCTGCTAGTTCCCCCATAGATGCATGCCTACCAACTAAAATGGATGCAAAATGCTACAAATAATTTGTAACCAATTTGTCCGGTATGCAAATGGACACATGCATAAAAAACCAAAAAAAAACTTCAAGTACTTGTATGCACATGTGYATACCGTCCAAATGAATAACCAAGGTGTTCCTCAGTTTTTTCATTTTTTGGGAGGTTTTCTCCTAAACCTCCCTCTATCGGTGTAACTATTGACATTTCCTTAAGAAATTAAACATACTTATATCAAATTTAAAGGTGAAAGTAGCTTGTTTGATATTTAATGTAAAGCAGGACAACAAATACAAAACAGAATGTAGAAAGTAATCGATAGACAAAAGTAGGTGGGGTTTTCAGGCAGCTATCGAATAAGTTCTAAGAGCAAATTATGCGGGAACTGGGCATCTCCTCAGATTAGATCACTAGCCAAAGRAGTAAATAATTTATTATTCGTAGCATATGTCAGCACAAATCAAGAAAAGGGTAACAAAATTCACAAATAATCAACTTTACTTAAAAATGAAGATCTGGGTAAAAGCATTATATGTYGTTGTTTCGTGATAGAAGAGGGCCAAAATATCAGCACGTTGATTTGAAGAAAACTGACAAGAAGGCTGAATGATTAAGTTTACGTAAAAGGAAAAGTGTACAGATGTAGAARTCGTAGAGTATTGTATTTACCTAATTTTAATCCTTCACGACTCGAATGACTAAGCCACTTGGCGTGTGGACAGTTTTGAGATGATCGGAACCAAGAAGATCACGRAGATGAAATCTCATATCGAGAGGTGACAGACGCAGACGTTTCTTCTCGAGAACRGCCAACATCATCTCTTTGTATTTTTTACGGTTGAGTAGAGACAGAAGCTCCTTTCTTCCCTATAGCACCATGACCCATCAACCAAAATGAAAACAAAATCCCAAAAAAAAGTACTATAATTCTGATATCATGTGCCAATACGTGTCAGCATAGAACCTAATGCGATAAAATTGAAAGAAATTAGATGTATATGGAGATAAGCACATAGTTGTAAATGTTATTCCCATAGAATGTGAATGGAGTAAAATTATACATACATATATATAGACGTATATGAAGATAAATAAATAGATGTATATGTTATTCCATAGAATGTGAACGGAGTAAAATTATACATATAAGGGGGGTTTAGGGGAAAACTCCAAAGAAAATGAAAAACTAAGGAATACTCTAATGCATGTGCATACAAGTAATTGAAGATGTTTCTTGGTTTCTATGCACGTGTGCATGTTATGCMCRTGTGCATACCGGAAAAATTACTTACAAATTACTTGTATGCACAAGTGCACACCGTACATTATGAATAGTTACTAGGGTGTTCCTCAGTTCTTCATTTTTTTACAGTTTTCCCCTAAACCTGACCCTATATAAATATATATATATATATATAACAATATTCATTTGTAGAAATTGCTACCATACCATATGAACAAGAACCGATTGTAAATTTAAGAAGCATTACAAGACATTCTTTTTCCAATTTCTCCGAAAGAAAACAGGTGTAAGAGCAAAGAGGACATGTTTCATAACATGGTTGGCATGTAAATTGAAAAGAAACTTCACTCATAGTTGGCAAAATTATAAACCAGCTGTGGTGTTTTTCTCATGCCTTACCGTAAGTTTCTTTTACTATCCAAACATTAAGATGTCATTATTCCGCCAAAAGCAATCCCATTAAGGGCCTGTTTGTCAGCAGCTTAATGAGTTTAATGAGACTCACAGCTAATTCKGTCAGCTATACATGACTAATTACCAGTGGCTTAATGATATAGAAAGTGGCTTATTCAATAAGCTTCCACAGAGAAACTTTATGTAGAAAGCCAAGTTTCTGCAAACTTGTTCCTCGTAATTAAAATATATGCTCCTTCCATTCATGAGAAAACCCTCTAAAACAAAAACATTCTCAATCTATACAGACATATTAATCTACACAGACAGCTTTATCCATACTGGACTTAAAGGAAAACCAACCAAACATCCCCTAAATCAAGTGTAAATACCAAGGCAATATCATAAATATGCAGGTAGTTCTTGATATCATGTTGAATAAATACACATACCTGTGTGAGGCCCTTCAACACTGAACCGATATTTGGAATTGCAAACCAGTACATGTCAGGATCAATAAGCTGACGCGTCTGGAAATGGTAGCACCACCAAAGAAAAGGATAACCATAAGAGTACAATTCTATTCATCACAAAAAAGGGTACAAGAAAAGATCAGATCTTTAAAGTGCATATCTACAGCCAACAGCTACAACTATGACAAGGGTGCGATCATACCAGCCACTAATGCACCAGATCCATCAGAACTCCACAGTTAAGCTACAACTATGACAAGCCTTTTATCCCAAACTAATTAGGGTACGCTAAAATAAGAAATCAAAAGAGATTATGAAGTGGTGAAACTCAAAACACATCTTCATTCCTAGTCCTTCTCTACTATATTCTCATTTATAATTCTATCCCCAAGTGTGTGGTAACACATCGACCTCGATATTCTCGTTTTCTTCCAGTTCATTTACTTAAGTGGCCCATTCTATCCTCCAGATCATAGCAAGTCACAAGTTGGAACTTACCTTTCAGCTGCAGCGGAAAGTTATCATCGTAAGATCCCCAACACGTGCCGCCGTGCTCATATCCTGTGGCTAATATAACATCCTCACCACACTTTCCCTCATTCTGTAAAGCTGGTCCCAAATCACGAAATATATGTCCCAACTACTCTGTGTCCTTATATGCCTACTGCATTTTCACTTTCCCTATCAAGAATGCTGAAGTTTCACTTCATAAGCTCTATTTTGTTTTGGCTTAATCCAAAAYGATTAAATTCAAATGTGTTTCGCAAAGCCTCAAACTTTGGTTTACTCTCTTCAATCAACACATCTGCGTACACGGTACACCATGACAAAATCTTGTATGTATGTCGGCTATGCTGTTAATTGCATGGCGCTATTGCGGCGATATCTCGGATAGCGGTCCTATGCAAAATAATGGTGGTCGAATTGCGATTTAAATTGCGGTAGCGCAATTTACCRCAATTWTGACTGATATTTAGAGTAAATTGCGTTCGATATTAACGTTAGTTTTTGGGGGGTTTGGGMTTTATTTTCAGTCTTGGCCTTTAGTCAAGGCTTTTTTTTTGGGCTTTAAGAACTAGGTTTCTCACTTAGATGACCACGACTTCTAGCTTTAGACGATCTGATCTCATCGACAARAAGAAAAAAGGAGCGCTATAGGGATGATGATKATGATCACRCTGGAGATGAAGGGGAAGAGCAGRAAGCTAGCCAAACAAAGAAGTGAACGTATTAGATGATGTTGACTCAGATGTTGAACCTATTGCTTGCGATTAGCTCGTTTATGAACACTTATCCTATTTTGCAAATGATATGTTTATGTAGGCATATTATATATATATATATATATATATATATATATAATTCTAAGAAATATTATATGAACCGCTATTTTTGGACCGCTATACCACCGCTCTAACCGCTATTTCAAATATCGGTCCCGACCGCAATTTTGTATTTTCACCGATATAACAGCATAGTATGTCCTATGTCGGTCATAGACTCAATTTATTGACCTAAAACGACACCTTCCGGTTCAATTTCCCAAATGGACTCAATTTTGTTTGCTTCTTACAAGACATTGTGCAAACAAGAACAAAAGAGCTATAAATTCCAACCAAGAGACATGCCAAACAAAGTGAGCCCTTCCACAAAACAGAAGTGAAAGAAAGTTGGGTTCATATAGAATCGTAAGTGCACGAAAAAAAATTACAATGTTGAATACCGTAAGCACAAAAAAAGATGTACTATCCCCATCCATAAAGAGATCCCACTTAACCACAAGGGTTGTGGCATAGTGGTTGARGCCCAAGGGATGTGGTGGAATATCCCATTTGCCTTGGGTTCAATTCCAAGCATCCACAACAATTGTGGCCACTRAGTTTATCACAGCTGATGTCTTACAAACAACTGAGTTTAACAGGCTGATGTCTTACAAACAACTGAGTTTAACAGGCTGATGTCTTATGGTCATAATTTGCCGAGATTAGTCAGGGCATAACCTGGGACACCCTTCCAAAAAAAAGGATCCCACTTTTGATTCTTGGAAAGTTTAAAATTTACAATCAGTATTGATTTTCTTTTAACTTTGTTGTTTCAATATGTTCTATTATTGCAAGTTTGCAACATGTTATAGTATCGTTTAATAATCATTTTCAATGTACAACAAAGCAATACTTCAGGCCAGACGAAGCATATTGTTTTTGCTGATAAATCAAAACAAATCCATAATGAYATTACTTTTCGGAACAGAGGGAGGATAACATTATTGCATACAGATTTAACAACCTATTGAGAAACCAAAATCCATCAATGAGATCTCATTTCTGAGGGGACGACGTTTGAATATTAATAAATATTCAACATGCCATCATTTATTTTCCCACCTGCCATGTTTTGAAAGGATGTCCCAGGCTATGCCTAGACCAATCCCGGCAAATTGTGACTGCAAGAAATCAKCCTTGATAAACTCAGCGGCCACAATTGTTGTGCACGCCTAGAATCGAACCTTGGGCATATGGGATATTCCACCTGCCATGTTGATATGTGGGATATAGACAACACTAGACTAGAACTACAAGAATGTAATTGAAGGTGCGGATCACCAAATTGACTTACCAAAAGACCAGCATTTATCAAGAGAGATATGTCTTCATCTTTCACCTTTCCTCCTATGGATAAAAGYGAACACTACAAGACAACACAATCAACTATAGTGAGAATAATAATCAATATCCTATATTTAATGATTGTTCAAATAATCACTCATATTTAAAAGAAACTATAATATGTGCATATGTTTTTCTCACAATTCATTTTATAACGTGTGTT